CTGTGTGTGTTACTGTGTGTGTTACTGTGTGTGCTGTACAGGGTTTGATCAGTACTTCACGTCTCGTTCTCTGGAGAACAACCGCAGGAACATCTGGTTCGCTGAGTTCTGGGAGGATGACTTCAGGTGCAAACTCACCCGACCTGGAATCAAACTGGACCCCGACAAGAAGAAATGCACAGGTACATCCACACCTGAGGGGGGTGGGGTCAGGGCGGACCTGTCACGCCATCATGATCTGACGGTGTGCATGTGCCTGCAGGTGACGAGAGGATTGGCCGGGACTCGATTTATGAGCAGGAGGGGAAGGTTCAGTTTGTGATCGATGCAGTGTACGCCGTCGCTCACGCTCTGCACAACATGCACCAGGACCTGTGTCCCGGCAGCTTCGGGGTCTGCAGCAACATGGACCCGGTGGAGGGACGCTCGCTGCTGGACTACATCAGAGCCGTCAACTTCAACGGTAAGAAAACACATACAGATCTGTGTTCGAGAGCTGGACCTCACCAGGAAGGGAGACCTGGAGGGCGCTGGTCTGGGAGTGTAAAGGTCTGGAGGGTCCAGACTCAGAGGGTGATGACCTGAAGGGTGTAAACTACATCCCCTTAAATTTGGCAAATGCTGCTTTATTTGTACCAGACGAAGGTTTTGATCATGAGCAGCTCTTTGTAGACGATCTCACAGCAGCGTGTGGATCAGCAGCAGTGTTGACAGAACAGAGCGAAGCAGTCGCACGGTTTCCTTCCTACAGACGAGGAATCCAACAGCATGTGGCTCAAAACCTGAAACTCAAAGAGACGAAAAAACCAACCTGCTGTGTTTGCTGGTTTCATTACATCAGAACGCCAGCGGAGAAGAACCGGCCGCTCTGTGGTTGGGCTACGGAAGGAATTTAGAACTTTTCCTTTTTTTTTTTTCCATCAGTTTGTACAAATTTTAAATCTTTCTGTTTCAGTTTCAGTCTTCCTTTCTCCACTGTGGAGCCAACAGCTTTGACAGGAACTCAGAGTGACCAAAACACACAAGAGTTCCTGGATGTAACTCCAGCTCTATGTAGGACACAGAACATTGGAGGTTTGCTCTGTTAGAACATCTGGAGAACTCTACGTTGCTGATGGTGATGTTAGAGACGAGAAGAAGCTGCTGGGGGAGAACATGGAGAAGATAGAAAACATGATGTCCTCTCTGCCTTTAACCAACGGAAGCATTCAGAGTTACCAACCCGGGAGAAGGACCTTGTTCCTCCAGTAAACACATCCCTGAAGGAGGTTCTGCAGGGTGGTTCTAGTGGTTGGAACAAAGGTTCAGCCCTCCCTAAAGTAACCTGTGAGTTCCTGCAGTGGGAAGACGACTGTCATGGAGCCTGATGGACTCACCTGGAGGATGTTGTTGTGACATCAGGTGTGGCTGAGGTTCCCGTGGACACGGTGAAGGCTCAGGACCTCTGAAACATCCACCAGGAGAGGCAGCAGGAAAACCAAAGAATCGTTTATTCCAGCTCACATGAACAAAGCCAGCAGACAATAGACGGAGACGCTGTGGTCTGATGGCAGAGGGACGGGCCGACACGCTGGGCCAGTGGTCAGCACCGTCGCCTCACAGCTACAAAGCCCTGGTTTCAATCTGGGTGGAGTCTCCATGTTCTCCCCGTGCAGCGTGGGTTCTCTCCGGGTTCTCCGGCTTCCTCCATCAGTCCAGAAACATGCTGAGGTTAATTGGTGGTTCTAAACTGTCTGTAGGGGTGAGTGAGGGTCTCTGTGATGGACTGGTTACCTGTCCAGGTGAACCTGCCTTCAGTCAGCTGGGATAGGCTCCGCCCCTTGTAACCCCCAGAGATGATGGATGGCGAGTGGAGCTGCCCTCGGTGGGGAACGGTCTGATTAACAAGAGCTCAGCGTGGACAGTTGTTCATGTCAGGAACACCTGTGAACACACTCTCCAGGTTTTCAGAGTTTCTTCTGCAGAGCAAACTGCAGCAGCTTCATCCGGCTGGACATCAAATCCATATTTTATCAAGACGAGAAGCTGCAGCAGCTGGAAGACCGAGAGGGTTTGTTGTTGTTTTTTTGAAAGTCATTTTTTTGGCCTTTATTGGATGGAGCAGTGAGAGAGAGACAGGAAAGTAGGGGAGAAGAATGGAGGAGGACGTGTGGGACAGCCAGCTCCAGCAGGTGAGCTACAGCAGCGCCCCATGAAGACAGACAGGACGCAATGTGTACATGTGGAGCTGCACGCCACGACTACCTGTCTGTCCACCTGTCTGTCTGTCCACCTGTCTGTC